CACGACGACCATGTGGAGTACGCCGAGGCGGAGATGGAAGAGGCCACCGTAGATGGCGGTGAGATGGGCGAGGCCACGGTGGGTGAGTTGGTCCATCATCAACATGTTACCAATGATGGGTAGTCCATGGGGGCCTGGCGGGTAAGGGAGTTTACGCCTTAGAAAATTGATCACTAAAAGAAAAAGAGAGAAGAAAAAAATGGAGAATAACAAGAAGGGACTTAAAAACTCCATTGGAGATTCAAATGATAGTTTGAAAGATTTGAAAGAATAATATTTATAGAAGAAAATTACTCAAATGTTCTTTGTATTAATCACTGTTACATTTTTTACGGGTAAAACTTGGGTCCAGCAACTTTATCCTTACCATCAATAAATATTTGACAACTTATTATATTTTAAAATATTTTTTTTTTTTACATTTCTCCCTCTTAATTGTTAAATATTTAATGGTGGTAAGTACAAAGTTGCTGTTTAGTAATAAGTAACAAGTTTTATCCATTTAATAATTTTTTCTTTTTTCTTTTAATATTAAAAAAAATTAATTGTAATAAACAAAAAGATTGGTGCTAAGAGATTTAATTTTGAGACAAAGGAATTTAATGGGAGGTGGCTTGATTGGGAAGTGACAACTCAGACCAACGCTGTCCTAAGCATTCTCTTAAAACTTTCAAAGATTTGATTAAAGTCAACTGTTTTTTTTTCCCTCATGCATACATAAGATTAAATTTTATTTATCTGCTTTGGAACCTCATATTTAGATTTTAAAAGCTTTCACTTACGTCATGTCTCAAGACCTTTTTTTTTTTTTGTACATATATGTTTAATCTACGTTATTGATGTAGATGGATGAAATCTACAATAGATTGAAGTGGGGTGTGGTCGATTTGGTCGAGGGATTAAAAGTAGTCAATCTGAATATAACTCAATTAGTTAAAGCATCTATATCTGATCAAAAGGTTGTGAATTTGAATATTCATCCTCACGTGTTGTACCGTCGAAGAAATTACGGTTAAAAGCATGAATTATTGATCTATGCTTCTTTATTAAAAGTTTTACATTGAATTTCAGACACGTGTGGTTGATTTAGTCGAGGGAGTGAAGGTTAAAATTACGATTAAAAGTGTGAAATAAATTTTAATATGATATCCAGTTGGATAGTCACACTATTTCATCCAAATTCTATCTAACCAAAGCGAGCATAGCTCAGTGGTAATTGACATATATCTCCAACTAAGAGGTTATGAATTTGATCCCTCATCCTACGTATTGTACTAAAAAAAAAATATATCTAATGGATTGTTACGTCTTCCTTTTTGTGAGCAACATTTTAGTTGAGATTAAACATGTAAACATTTAGCTCAAAATCTTAGTATAAAACTGAAACGTTTAAGAATAGAAATAAATGAAAAATATTGGGTTATTTACCTGACCAATTTTATCCTCACCACTATTAAATGTTTGACAACTGGGAGACAAATAAAAATGTAGAGATTTTTTATAAATGGAAAATATTTGACTCCTCAACAGTGATAACTAGATCGCCACCTTGGAAAATTAACCACTCTAATAATAATAAAAATAAAAAAGAACTCATTTTGCCCTTTTTTTTTAATCCAAAATTCATTTTGCATTTCTCTCTTAAATCTTAAATATTAAACATTTAATGGTGGTGACGACGAGATCATACATCACGAGTAAGAACCAATTATTCCCCATGTAAAATAGAAATAACATTAAATCGGTTTAATCATTTTTTAAAATTAAATAGTTTTCCTTGAAAATCAAACTACTCCCCTAGAAAATCCACCAAAACCGATGGCCACATATATTGATGATTTTAATTAAATTAATTATCCTGCCTTGTATGAGTAAAAATGACGTGGTGGGAACATTATTGGAAACGTTTATATGGCAATAACAAAAAAGAAAAAGAAAATAATAATTAAAAAGGTTGGTGGATGCTAATCTCTGCCGTTGGATCAAAATCACAGATCAGAATTTTAAAGAGAATTATGCCTCATTTATTTCAAATATGTCATATTGAATTTGAATTTGACTTTTGATTTATGAGAGCAAAAACGCCTTCTTTGACCAAGAAAATGGAATTTGTAACTTTACCCTTCTAAATTTTCACGATATAATGGTTTATCAAATCAAGTATTTATATAAGATATATATTGTTTAGACTTTTACCAGTGTCCTCTAACAAACTAAAACCCAAAAAATGGGAGCAACTCTCTTTCTCAATGAGGTGGAAAGTCTTTCGTTAGTAGTCGGCATTCTTCTTTGGTGTCAAGGTAATAGCTATGAATAGTCATCGACTCCTAAGATCCAAATTGATGAGTTGAAAATTAATTGGCTTCATTTTTTCTATACCTAGTTGGCTAGTTGAGAAAACAGGTGAAATGAAAAATAGATATCTGAATTGAATATGAATTTGGGTCGTTTTTTTCTAATACAATATGTGGGGGTGAAAGATCGAACTTACAACCTCTTAATTGGAGATATATATCAATTACTGCTGAATTATGCTCGTTTTGATAATTTAGGTCGTTAAATCACCAAATCGGGTATTATAATTATAAATTTATGTTAGTCCAAGATTTGCTTCCACCCCAAGCTTTAGTATCACTGTTACACCATAGAAATGAAAAATTGCCCGTTTGCCAAAAAAGTAAATGATATTTTTTCTAACTGCTAACATAAAAATAATAAAATAAATAACATTTAATCTTTTTGGTACAACTTGTGTGGGATAAATATTCAAATTCACGACGTTTTAGACCTTTTAAATAAATCAGTTGAATTATGATGGGTTAGTAATAATATTTAATTTTGAATCATCCTCTTAAATAAAATACTCGTTTTTAAAATTAGTCACATTTAAAGTCAACATATAATCATAGAATTTACGAGACTTTTTCTTTTCAAATTAAAAAAAATTACATAAATTGAACTAATTTTACTTGCATCACTCCTTCTCCTTCTCCTCCTCCTCCGATGGACGCAACCCTCCACCAATTCTACTCGCTGCCATCCATAGTCCCTTAGTGGCCTCTCTCTCAACCTCTGCCACTAGCCGCCATGAATGTATCTCGTGAGGTCGGTTTATATATGTACATATATTGAGATAATATAGTAAAAAAATAACAAAAAAAATTGAATTTAGGAGAAATATTAATATTTTATTTTAAATATAATAATAAAAATAGTAAAATCAAAAGGTCAAAATCAACCCTAATGAAATAGTTGAAAAAATACAGATTGACATTTTTATTAATAAGAACTATTTGGTCATTTAAAAAAAAGTAACAAATATAACAAATATAGACACCTACTATAAATTCTTTTTGTATTATTAATTTGTGTTTAAAAAGTTATACTTCTATCTTCTATATTTTTCTCTTACCACGAATTCATACGATGAATAATGCATAGAAATTTCTATTGTAGTGTTAGGCTGAAGAGGTATATTCTTTGAATTTCTTCCTTTTGATTGGTAATCTAGAGCTACATACAAAAACACATCCTATCTGTTTATTTTGTATCAACACAAAAATACATTGTATTTTTTATTATCCTATAAATAGGGTTGGAGAAAATATGGTTAGGATTATCCTATAAAAAAGGAAAGAAAGAAAAATAAAAATAACACTTAGTTAGAGAGGAGTAATTTGGTACTTAAAAAGTGAGAAGATATCTTCCTATTTTTTAGTGGGTCGTTCGTCTGAGGGTCTTTTGACCATTTTTTGAAATTGTCTATTTAAAATTGTATGGTTACCCCATCCCAAAACTGCATTCACTTTCTCCGAACTATGGGCCTTTTTTTCTTTTTGATATCCCGAGTGTCCAGATCCGCTAACCTCGACTAATTTCACAGGACAATTGTCTGACTGTACTACATTTAGTTGAAAAAAATAGGAAATTTGCAAATTTGGAAAATATTTTAAAAAATGAAAAACAAGAAACAACATAGTTACCAAACTACCCCTAAATGCCACCTGTGAATACCAATGAATCCAAACACAGAATAAAATCATGTCACCACACTCGAATATAGATGTGGCACATCTAAGACATGCATTCTGATTTTA